AAAAAAAAAAAAAGTTTGCATAGGGTTGATTTTCTGATTTTGTCTTTCCTCTCACTGTTGTGTACTTATTGTTCAAACAATGACCCATCAGGATCCATCTCCCTCTTCTTGTATATACTCTGGTTCCTTCTGGCCGGTTTCCTTCCCATCTTCTTTCTAACCACTCCACCCTACGCTGGGGAGCCATTTGCTTCTCCTGTTATCTGCTGATTCTATCACTTCACCCTTAGTAAACCAAAGCAAACAAACAAACAAAAAATACATCATCTACCATTTTACAATAACATAAAAACTGAAATAGTTGTAATGCATATTTATTGGATTTGATCACAGAAATTAGATAGAGGAATCTGTTTGCTTTTTCAAAAAAAGGCATACTGTTCACATCCTGAAAAATCTTTTCTCACTAGGGTAAAGCCATTTGTTCTATCACAGTTAAGCTTTTTGTAATAGTGTTAAAGAAAGGAATCCTCTTCTCTTCAGTTCTCCCATAAGAGAATATAGATAGAAATAATTTAGCCCAAACGCCAATTTTACAGAGAAAGCCGCTCAGAAGGATCAAGGGACTCATCCAGGACCCCCATCTCCCACCCACAACCCCCCCTCCCCCTCTTATAATGGTGGAGCTAGGACAGAACCTGGTTTTAAAGATATCTCCTTTGATGTTCTTTGCATCCCCTTCCCAAGTGCCTCGATTGGATGCTTAATGGGCACGGTGAAGCAAGAGGATTCGCGGCCTTCTTCATTGCTATTTTGCATTTTCATGGCAACACCTCCGCGGATCGGTATACTTTATACATTCTCATTAGAGGCTTTTTACTATTATTATTTTTAAAAAATCAGTCTGCTATGGTGATGGCACAGGGGTGACTCGGTGATGGGAAACCCACGGGGATTACAATTGAGACGAAGGGGAAAAAATGTACAAAATGATGTAAAAATAAACTATCATATATATAAAAAATCAGTCTGCATTTCTGCAAGGAGAAACTGTTCAAGGGCGCACATGCACCGTTACTTTAATCTTGGGGGGGGGGAACTGGGGAAAACGGATCTCGAGGACCTGCATCAGGCCTCCCAACGCTGCTTTCTGGAAAGCTAAAACGCCCTGCGTGTGACAGCTTCAGATATCCTAAGAGAAAGACGCTAGCTAGGGTCCACCTACCTAACCCCTGCTTTAATGATGCATGAGAAAACTAAGGTTTCATGAGCTTGCCAAACATTTACGGAAGAAGAGAAATCGGGAAACAAAGCCCAGCGTGGAAAAATCCAGCCCCGCAGCTCCGGGAGGACAGTAGACCGCGCCCTCATTGCAGCGGCCCGGCGGGCTGCAGAGACTGCGGAGACGCAGTGCGGGGCGTGGGACCCACACCCAGGCGAGCGCCTACCGCCCGCGTAGCCCTGGGCTGCGCTCTCTTCCGCGCCGCCCCCAGAAGCCCCGGCCCGGGAGGCAAGAGGCGCCCCAGCGCTGCGCGCCCGCCCCGTGGAGCACCGACGCTGCGGAGCATCCTCCCGCGACAGCGAGGGCGCGGCCACCCCCGCACTGCGGTCTGGGGACCGCAACTGCTCAACGCTGGCCAGACCCCACTTA